AAATAAAATAAAATGCTAATGAGTTTATGGGGGAAAACAGAACCCTTCTACATTGTTGGTAGGAAGGAAAATTAGTATTTACCACTATAAAAAGCAGTGTAGCAATTTCTCAAAAAACTAAAAATAGAAATTCCATTTGACTCAGATATTCACCTTCTAGGTATCTTCTCGAGTTAAAAACATATTACAATGATACATGCATACACATGTCTTATAGCAGCACAATTCAGAATAGCTAAATCTTTGAAGTGGTCTATAAGTCCATCAGCAGATGAATGGCTAAAGAAAATGTCATATTTAAACAGCATGGAGTATTATGTACTCTGCCATACAGAAGGATAAACTTGAGTCATTTGTAGGAAAATGTATACCTTGAGACCATAATGTTAAGTGAAATGAACCAGAAACTCAAGCTTAAATATCGCGTGGTTTCTCTTATATGAGAAATTCAAGTTATAAATAAAGAGCCAAATAAAAGGTAGATAATAAGAAGTAGGGCGATAGATCTTTCTAAAATGGGAAGGGGATCGATAATTGGGGGAATAAGAACAAAGCAATGAAAAAGGGAATTAAGATGTCTATGTACATGTAGCAATTACAAATAAATCATGTAAGCATTATTTACTGCAAAAATGCACTAATAAAAAATTTGAAAAGAAAAGTTGCTGACATACAATGGTCATCATGTATCTCTCATTTATACATTCTGTCAGAAAAGAAGCATAACATCTTAGATTTTCATAGTTTTGTCATATCACTGCATAAGCACCTTAAAATTAGAAATTAATAAATCTTACCGGGTTTTCATGGACAGTTGGAATATATAGTCAGTTGTTAAACATATTCCATATCAAACTATTTGTTTTTATTTGTAGTGCTAGGAATAAAATCCAGGGCATTAAACAAGCTAGCCAAAAACTGTAACAATAAGCTACATCTTTGGCACAACATCATCATTTAAAAATTTTTCAATGTATTATAATTGCTTACATATAATCTTATACAAAACTCAAGTACAGTTTCTTTTTTTTCTTGTGAATTATTTGAAAATATTTTTGCAACTTTTAAAAATTTTCTTTTGTGTTGATTCACTTATACTTTTTAAAATATAAAGCCATAATGCACTGTAGTGAAAGAGTAAATGTTCAATATGAAATTTAAGATAACATTTCAGCAAAATTAATTAAAATCATCAGTTTGCTTCAGTGTAATTTAAAATTTTTCATATTAATTTACCAATTCCCACTGGTAATCTTGTTTTTAATTCATACAATTAAAATGAGCACATTTTATATGTCCGCTAAAATCTAAATCAATAAGCCAGACATGGTGGTACATGTGTATAATTCCAGAACTTTGGTGGGCTGAGATTGGAAGATCATAAGTTTGAGCCAAGCCAGGGCAACTTTATAATTTGGTAAAACCCAGTCTCAAAATAAAAATGTATTTAAAAGGGCTAAGGATATAGCTGAGTGTGAAGGTCCCAGGTTCTATGACCAGTGCTGTCAAAAAATAAATTAAAATAAATAAATAGATAAAAACCAAACAATGAGAATTTTGTGTATCATTTTTATATATAGCATAGTTTTTCTTTTCTTTGAAAATATGGCAAGTTAATATTTTTTAATATTATGGCTATATCCAGTGCAGAAATTACCAAGCTGAAATCTATTATTTCTTATATTGCACATGTTAAGAAAAATATAATTTTATAACAATATTGTTGCATGTAAATAAATATATTATTACTATTAAAATTTGATCTAAAACTATTTTGCCAAAATGGCCATACTTCCAAAACTGCTAGGCAGATTCAATGCAGTCCCAATGAAAATACCAACAGCAATTCTAAAATTTATATGGAGCCAGAAGACACTGAGAATGGCAAAAGCAATTTGGGGCAATAAGAGCAAAGCAGGAGGCAATACCTGACTTCAAGCTGTACTACAAAGGAATAGTGATAAAAATGACATATTACTGTTCAAAAACAGCTATGTGGGTCATTGGAACAGAATTGAAGATACAGAAAGTTCCCAAGACACATTCAGCTATTGGATCTTGATAAAAGGTCTAAAAACATATGTTGGAGGAAAGATAGCCTATTCAACAAGTAGTGCTGGGGAAACTGCATATCACTTTCCAAAAGACTGAAATTGGACTCTTATCTCTCATGATGTGCTACGTTAAAATAAAAATTGATCAAAGATCTAAACATTAAAACAGAAATGTTAAAACTATTGGAAGATAAAATAGGTAAAACACTTGAAGACATAGGTGTAGGAAATTATTTTTCTAAACAGAAACTCAATGGCACAAGAAATAACAGCAAGAATCAAAAAATGGGATTATTGCAGACTAAAAGTTTCTATACAGCAAAAGAATCACTCAGTAA